ATTTGTGGGCGTCTGCTGGCGACGTGGTCTATGTGCCTGACTGCGGCTGCGTGGTGGCATGCTGGTGCGCTGGCGCGCGCCAGGAGCGTTGTGTTAAGGACGCTGACTTTGGGCCGGCGACCGAGATGCCGCAGCAGGTCGCGCTTGCCCCCCCTTGTTCAAGCACCCCCGACCCTCGGCTACCGATGTGGCTGTGGACTGCGGCATCCCGTCTGGTCGACGGCAGTACGATCGTGGACGAACTCGCCTCCAAGGCGGCCGTGGGTGTCAGGCTGCCTCAAGAATGGTTCCCGAGGGTCTTCACGCACAAGCGTCGTGCACACCATGTACGTATTCGACTCGTGTGTGCTTCTGTGGACAGCGTGGCGGCGACCGCCGTGCTGGAGACTGCGGCTGGAGAGCGGCAGGGCCGCGGACCTTGCGAGGTTTTGTTTTTCTCCTCCACCTCCTCCTCATCCTCCACCTTCCTCTCCTGCTGCTGCCGTCTCCCCTCTTGATTCGTGTTGCTCTCTTGCAGACTGTTAGGAGCACTGCTTCATTGTTTCGCATCGGTCACCAGAGCCTGTATGAAAGGCTTGCGAAGCAAAGACTGCGATCAATGCTACAACGTAGACGACTTGATCATCTTGCCCAAGAGGGGCGCACGTGTGCATGGAATGGGGGCTGGGCTCATCCGGCTGACTTTCTTAACGTTCACATTGCCCTCAGGTGGTGGCGTTGCAGCCTCAGTGGGGCTACTGCCGAATAGCAGTTGCGTTCCCCCGGAGCGTCCTGCAAGGAAAGATAGCTTCAATTGCAGCCCGCAAAGGGTTCTTTGATTGGTTTTCAGCTAGTCTACAGCCAAATGTCTTGAACCAAGCCGAGCCGAAGGCGAGGCGGTCAGAAGGCACTGTTTTAAAGCGCCGAGGTGTTCATCGCACATCGTTTGCATTCCAGAACTGGTTCCATCCCACTCCCCCCCCTTCATCCCCTCGCCCCAATCACTCTTCCAATCCTCCCCGCCCTCGCTCCCCCCCTCCCCTCCTTCCCTCCCTCCCCCCTCTCCCCCTCGGGTAGTTCCTGCCCGCTCTGCCTCCCTCCTGCCTCCCCTCGCCTCCTCTCGCACCTGTGCCCTCCCCACTTCATAACAGATGCTGGGTGCTGCCCGGCTCGCCCAGGAGCCACGTCCTGGCGGCCCGCACGCGCCAGGCGGCGCTCCCCGCCGCCGCCCCCCGCGACCGGCCCGCCGCCGCTCGGCGCTCGACTTCGCTCACCGTCGCCTTTCCACGCCGCTCGGCACCCGGGGAGTTGCGAGGAGTGGGGCGTCGAGGAGGAGGGTTGAGGAGGAGAGCCAGGAGGGAGGAGGAGGAGGAGGAGGAGGAGGAGGAGGAGGAGGAGCATGGCGAGGAGGATTGGGCGAGGAGGTCTGAGAGGAGGGGCGAGGGGCGGGGAGAGGGCGAGCTGGGGGGCCCTGCCACGAGGGCCCCCCGTCTCCGGGAAGGCCTCCCTCTGCACGCATTTGAAGGAGCTTTTCGTTGAGGTACAGTGGAGGCCCATGGCAAGAAACACCCTGCTTGCTTGCCTCCAGGGTGCCCTGTTTTTTTTTGAGGGGGGGGGGTCGACGGTTTTGCGATGGAGAGCGCGACGTTCCCACACCAAAAATCGGGGGACGCCCCGGGGTCTCGGGGTTGGGTTTCTCGTGGAAGGTTTCTTGTGGTCGGGCCAATGCAGTATCTGTAGGTGTTGGTACCCCGCGGGGTAAGAGCCACCCCGCGCCGCTCGCCATGACCCCGCACGGTTCGGCGCCGAGGTGGGTGGCGCTGTCCCTCAGGACGTGGCCCTTCGGGGCAGGCCGCAACCCAGAGGGGAAGAATGAGGAGCGGGGCGGCAGAGCCCTTCTGGCGAGACCCCACCCCGACCACGACGACGACGACGACGACGTCGAGGATGACTCCCTTCTCAGAAGGCCGTCCCAATCGCCCCGTCCCCATCCTTTGCGCCGCCAGGAGGAGCGGGGCTATGAGGCGCGGCGGAGGAGAAGGAGGAGCAGTAGCAGGAGCAGTAGCAGGTTCAGGAGCAGGAGCAGGAGGAGGAGGAGGAGGAGGAGGAGGAGGAGAAGGAGGAGGAGCGAGAAAGCGAGGAGCGAGCAGAAGGAGGAGGGGGGGGGGGGAGATGGGGGGGAAAGAGGGGGGGGGGTGAAGGAGGAGGGGGAAGGAGGAGCGAGGGAGGGTGCGGGAAGGAGCGAAGAGCGAGGAGACAGGGAGGGGGACGGTATCAGATCGCGAAGAGCGCCTTCGCCGAGCTACGGGCTTCGAAGGAACAGGGAGGTGCTAAGACTCAGCATCGCTCGGACGCGTCCATTTTTTATTCGGCGAGGACCATCGAGGAGCAGTGTGGGCTTTCTTGCGAAAACACATCGCGCACGAAGTCGACGAACGCACGGGGAACGGACGTTCGAGCGGAGGCGGGTAGACCCTCTCTCGGCTCGATGCGTCCCGAGGCCCGCGCTCCCTCCGGGGTCTCTCTGAGATCGGGGCGCATCCTGGCGGAGGCCACACCGGGGAGGCTGCCTGCCGGAGGGGGAGAGATCGATCTGGCATGGCGGGAGTCGGGCACGGATGTGCAGTCTGCTAGGCTTGCGGTCGTGGTGCGTCGATCGTTTGTTTTGTTTGCCCCTCGCGTGTTTCTTACGGCTCCAAGTTTCGAGGTCTTCACCCCCTCCTCCCCCAAATCATTTGCGCGTATCTTGTGTCTCCGCGTTCTGCTGTTCGATCTGTTTGTTGCGTTGCTCTTTTAGTTGTGGTTTTGGTGTTCCTGTGGTTTGCCCAGGTACCAGTTTGGAGGGCGTGCGAGGTTGCATGTTTTGTCCGCTTGTCGTCCGTCACCATTCCTTCTCCTTCTCCCAAAGAAATGGCAGGTCACATGTTTTCATACAACCTTCATCGGCATGAGTTGTACAAGCCAGAATTGTCGCTTCCTATGGTTCTTTGTAGCTTGACAAAGCTACGTGGTACGAGCCATGATCTGTATTCAGGCGCAGCCGAACTCGTCGAGGCCCCACCACGCCAGCCAGGTACCCGAGCACGTCAGCACTATCGAGCCAGACATATGCACGTCGTTCGCAGTGCCTGTCCACACGAAGATGCATATGTGTGCGCGTGCCGTGGCGTGCAGATTCTGTGCCTGCGCGCAGTCTGCGCCGAAGAAGCGTCAGCAGCTGCACGGCCATACGGGTTCAAGCTCCCTCGCGGATGTTTTGCGTCGGCGCTGGACCTTGGTATCGCTCGGACGTGTACACTTTTCCTCGTCGGGGATTATTGAGGAGCATCCTGGATCATCCTGCGAAAAAACCACGCACGAAACCAGCGAAAAGCACAGGGAATGGACGTCCGAGCGATGGCCAGGGACCCTCGCCACCTGGCGCCGGGGGAGGGGGTCGGCCCCGATGCAGGAGATTCGCAGGGGCCTCCAGAAGCGAAGGAATGTTCATGCCTCTGCTGGCTTGTTGGTCCCTCCGGGTGCAGGTCTGCGGCGCGCCGCGCGCCCCTCGGCGCGCCGCCGACTTGTCGCAGGTGGGGGCGGCAGGGTCGTAGCTTGGAGGGTAGGTCGTAGGGTCGTAGGAGCGTGGGTTGCAGGTGACATGCGCGGGTCGCAGATGGGGTCGTGGGTGGTCGTAGGGGGGCAAGTATCTGAACATTCAGCATCGCCGGGTCGTACGGTTGGCGCTGCGAAGATTGCGTGGAATGCGGCGCCGCTGGCCCGGGTATCGCAAGCTGCCTCCCACCTGAGGGACAGCGTGCACCGGAGAAGCCTTGGTATGGGGACTGACGTGCACAGAGAAATCCCTCGCAGAGGGGATCGCCTCACAGAGGTAGCGTGCACGGAAGGGAGCCTGATTTGGGGTGATTTTTTTGGTGGGGATCGCGTGCTTTCCGGAGACCATTGTTGCACGCTATCTTTGCGACGCCAACCGTCGGTGTCGTTTTCAGGCAGGCCTCGAATCGAGATAGATCGGTCCAGAGCGTTCCAGAACGCTCTCAGAGCGTCCCAGAACGCTCTGCAACAGCCGCGGCGCCCGACACATCATCCAAACCTGCCGATTCTCACATATTCCGGATTTACATCGGTCCGATGTTGTCTCGATTCTGCTTTCGTCCTACATTTGGTTTCTGGTCCAGCGCGGGTCCCCGCGGGGTTTCTCTGCAGTGTTCTTCCACGCCATGCTATGCCGTGCTCTATGATACATGTACCTTCGGGGGATGATCGCCCTGCTCGATCTCCGACTGTGCGAATGGAGAGGAGATCTACGCCATGGTAAGGGATGGGAGGGAGGGTAGGACGTCAGATGTGACGCGGGCGCACCTATTTCGTCCTCCTCCTCCTCCTCCTCCTCCCTCCCTCCCTCCCTCCCTCCCTCCCTCCCTCCCTCCCCTCCCTCCCTCCCTCCCTCCCTCCCCTCCCCTCCCTCCCTCCTCCTCCTCCTCCTCCTCCTCCTCCTCCTCCTCCTCCTCCTCCCTCCTCCTCCTCCTCCTTCCTCCTCCTCCTCCTCTCCTCCTCCTCCCCTCCTCCTCCTCCTCCTTCCTCTTCCTCCTCCTCCTCCTCCCCCTCCTCCTTTTTCCTCCTCCTCCTCCTCCTCCTCCTCCTCTTCCCCCTCCTCCTTCACCCCCCCCCTCTTTCCCCCCCCTCTCCCCCCCCTCCTCCTTCTGCTCGCTCCTCGCTTTCCTCGCTCCTCCTCCCTCCTCCACCCCCTCCTCCTCCCCCTCCTCCTCCTCCTCCCTCCCCTCCTCCCTCCTCCTCCTCCTCCTCCTCCTCCTCCCCCTCCTCCTTCTCCTCCTCCTTCTCCTCCTGCTCCTCCTCCTCCTCGTTCTCCTCCTGCTCGTCCTCCTCCCCCTCCTCCTCCTCCTCCTCCTCCTCCTCCTCCTCCTCCTCCTGCTCCTCCCCCTCCTCAGGCCCTCCTCCTTCTTCCTCCTCCTCCTCCTCCTCCTCCTCGTTCTCCTTCTCCTCCCCCCCCCCCTCCCGAGGCCTTCGCGCTGCTGTCGCGCTGCCAGCTGGGCCAGGAGGGCGGGCCCCCTGCTCCGCCCGCGGGCCGCGTGGGGGGCGGGTCTTCGAGGACACGGGGAGTAAGTCGGGCACGTCCCTCTACAGGAGGAATAATTGAAAAAGAGTAGAAACATCGGAGGAGAAAAGGGTACCCATACCTCTACCCTTCGTCCGTTATCCCCTTCTTGGGCCTCCTGGGCCTCCCTCGTCGCCACCGCTGGACTCGCCTCGAAATTCTGGTCAGAACGCACCCCTGGAGAGGTCCGGGGAGTAGCAGTATCGGTACATCTTGGTTCCCCCAAGCAATAGGTTGGGGACGATTGGTTCACTATGTTGATCATTTTTGCATATGTTTGATTATTGTGTATTCTTCGTCCAGAATCCGCCAGTAGGAGGACACGCCCGACCTAATTGCAAGGACCCCTGACCCTAGTGACACCGTAAAGACGTGGCCTCACTGAGGTCCGCGTCTGTGCACTAGGGGTGATAATCTGGGCGGTTTGGTGCGACACATCTGCAGAAGAGAGCCCCTTATCCCTGAGGTTTTCGGCCCTCCAAACTTCGGTCCCCTCCCAAGGGTGAGAGATTGGACTTTCTGTGCCCCGGTGGCCCTGGTGAGATTTTCTCTGGCCCAGCGGCCGCTTGTGAACAGCATGCCCCAAGGTTTTCACGTGTCCGGGCCCCTGGAGGCCATGCTCGTTGGACACTGTTTCGACTCTGTTCTGCGTGCTCGAAGCTATTTCTGGGATGAGGTCTTGAAGTACGGTGGGAGCAACATAAGTCCAGGGTAGGGTCACGAGGGTTCGGGTTGGCACCCGGGGAGTGTCCCGGAGAAGGGTCGGAGGGTCCGCGCTGGCCCCCAGGCCGGCGGGATCGGCGGCAACCCTCCTCGCTTGTCGCAGTCGTTCCCTGAACAGGTTGCCCACGGTCCGGGCGGGAGCCTGGTTTCAGAGCCCCGAATCATCAGGGGTAACTCGGGTCAGGGATAACTCGGGTTCGTTTTTTCGGAAATCCAAACCCGAGTTACCCCGGACCCGAGTTACCCCGGATAACTCGGGCGTCCTGGGCGCCCGAATCATCAGGGGTAACTCGGGTCAGGGCTAACTCGGGTTCCTTTTTTCGGGAATCCAAACCCGAGTTACTCCGGACCCGAGTTATCCCGGATAACTCGGGCGCCCAATGGTTCCTGAGATCGGTGGCTCAGCCTTGCTCTCCATCATTGCCCCCCATCGTTGGGCCCCTGAGATCGTTGGCTCATCTCGGGTGGGCGGTAATGGGGGGTTGGCCTAAAAGGGGGTGAAGGAATGAGCCCTAACGAGACCCTTGAGCCCTCTTTTGGAGCCAGCAGGGGCCCAAAAGGCCCCATTCTCTTCACCCCCATTCAGGCCCCCTCCCCCCCGTGACCACCCACCCTATAATCATTGCCCCTCATCGTGGCCCCTTGCCATATTTTCCTTTCCTTTTTACTCCTGCTCCTTTCATCCCCGCATATGCGTATATGCATGTATCCCTGGCCTCCCGCACCCTATCCATGTCTCTATCCCTCGTTGCCCCCCCATCGTGACCCCCCCACCCTGTCTCTTTTAGCCGGATGCCTACCCGCCCATCGCGGCCCCATCGGAATGGTGCATGGCCGTTGTAGGCTTTCTTCCGTAATGGCGCAAGGGTGTCATGCCTATTGTAATGGCCTCCGCCCAGTGCCGCCGATCCGGGGGTCTCTGGATTCGGTGATCCTCGCGGCTCTGTGGCCTCCTCCTTCCTCGATTCTTCTGGTCCCCTTTCTTCTCCCTAGTTCTCGTTATCCTCTGCCTCCCGCTGAGCGGTCCCGGGGAGGGTTCCGAGGAGGCTTCCGAGGGGAGGGTCCTGGGGGCGGTAGCGGCTAGATCTGAGGTGGGTCCTTCGAACCCCCCGAAACATCTTGGGGATGTGCAAATCATAAAGTAAACGCCAGATGGGGGACCGCCCCCCCCCCCGGTCCTCCCCTTCCCCCGGCAGAACCACCCCGGCTACCCCCCCAAGCAGAATCTGAGAGGGGGATCCGGGTCCCTGGGACCCCTCGAAACATCTTGGGGATGCGCAAATCATAATGAAAACGCGGGGACAGCCCCCCCCCCTCCCCCCCGTCCCCAGCAGAGCCACCCCGGCGACCCCCAAGCAGATCTGAAGTTCTTGCTTAGACTCAGAGCTGAAGCTCTTGCTGAGGCCCCTTGTAGCTCACACGTCGGATCGGCGGATTTCTCGACCCAGTGACCGGTCAGAGTTTTTTTGTTCCCCGAGTTATTGTTTTACGTTTTCTGGGCCAGGAAACGATGATGATGATGATGATGCTGCTGATTATGCTAATGTTGATGTGGATGATGGTAACCATATGATAAAGATGATGCTTATGTTGATGATGATGACGGTGATGGTGATGGTGATGATGGTGAGCATGATGATGCGGATGCTGACGCTGATGCTCATGGTGATGCTGCTGATGATAATGATGATGATGATCAAGAAACATCTTGCGGAGGCCGAAAACGTGGAACAGCTCGCCGTCACATGCCATGTCTTACAGCCCCCAAGTACTGGGGGCCACCCTCCGGACATCTGCCCTGGACCCGCCTCCCCAGCGCGCTCTGCTCAGCACTGCCAGGCGGATCCAGCTGTTGCGACGAGAGGGATTTCTGGAGGCCCACTGTCGGGAAAACGTGAGACTCGATTTTGCCAGTATTTGGGTTTGCCGAAGTTTGTAGGATTCAGCGGCGAGCGAGCGAGGGGGGGAAGCGAGAAGGAAAAGGCCCTCTCAGAAGGCGGCGGGACTTCTCAGAAACCCTCGCGCCTTCTGAAAGGTATTATGTGTCTTCGGAGACAGCTGAGAGAACTCCTCGGAAGGCCAGAGGACTTCCGAGCCTTCTGAGATAGCGTTTTCCTTATCATTTCTCCTGCTCGCTCGCCGCCGAGGGATGGTCCCCGCGTGCAATTCGACGGTCCAGTCTGCGTGAGATGTTAGTTGGGAGCGCCCGCGTTACGTTTCAGACCACGTCGCGTCGTTTCCCCGATGGCCCCGTCAGGCCAAGACGAGTTGCCCAAGTCTGAGTCCTAAGTCCGCGTGGCAAGAAGGGCTCAGAGAGCATATGAGCGCTTCTCGCAACGGGGGGGCGATGATTGGGGGGAGGTGAAAAAGATGACCGTGACGATCAAACTTGACGGGAATTGGAGTAGTTTTCAACTAGCAAACAGCACACCTCCGCTAAGCGTCACTGATAACGCTATTGCCCCTTCCGCGAAAAAGAGGTGCACCTCTCGTGCACTCCAGAGCCATAATGGCAGGGGCCCCCCTGGGGCCCAAAAGTGGAACGAAGAGTGCACGTTTCTTCGGTATGAAATCATGTGAGCCTTGCATACCATCGTAATTCAATATTTGGAGTGGGTCAGCGTCTGGTAATCGATGCGATAGCGCTGATTCAGCGTCGATTCAGCATCGACCAGCGTCGATTCGCAAGGTAACGCCCAAAGCACCCGACGATCAGGCCGGCCGGAAGGGTAGGATAGGGAAAGGGGGTACGACATCTGCCGCATGCAGTTGGCTTCCGCCCCGCAGCCAGACCCATTCCTCGTCACATGGGCGCCTCAGCCGCTAGGAAGCGCCAGGAAGACCAGCTACGTGAGCCGATTCTCTCTTTATCGTTCCTGCCCTTTGCTATCCTACCCTTTCGTCCCCCTGGAAGCGACCCTGATCCTCGAGCCAGATAACAGGGGATCTATCAACCTCCATGTCAGGCTTCGTGGGGTTCGCGACCGGACCAGGAATCTGGGACCTAGTACCTTGGGAGATACGGTAGAGGGAAAGAATTAGTGGACATTCCCCCGCTCCCCGAAACTCAAAGTTGACACGCGCGGGAAAGATTGCGGTCGAATTGCAGCTCGTTCAACCCACCGCCAACATTGATCACTGGGGGGGGGTGCATTGACAGATGGAGGCGGCATGAGTGATCGCTATTTTTTCCGAGGCCTGTACGATCGGGGGGGGCGTCCATCCCCCATAGGGGTGTGTCCGAATTGCCCCCTGGGGGTGTATCCCCCTCCTTTTCGGAGCGGCTTCCCCTCCACCTCCGCCTTTCATACCATCTGACTCCCGCGGAGGGTGCGGAAACATTCCTCGACGTTTATTCATTTTTCGCGCACTTCACAAGGAAACCCACGCGGATCAGATCGAAGAAGGGGCGGAAGGTTGGGGCGAAAGGTTTGGAAACATTGTGGACGACGATCGGAGAGGAAGCATGGTGCCAAATCTTTAGATGACTGAGGAATGTTTGAAACTTTTTTAACCTGGAACAAAAGCTCATGTTTCAAACATGTTCCGAACATATCTCAAACACTGCAGACACGTATTCTCATTCAGCGATAGGACGGTAAGGGTGTCCACTGTCATGGCATCAGTAGTAGAAGCAAGAGGGGGAGGGGGGGGGAAGAAAGAGAGGGAGAAAGAGAGAGAGAGAGATACGTGTACAAAGAAAGAGAGAGAGAGAGAGAGGGAGAGGGGGAGAGAGAGAGAGAGATAAGAAGAAAAATACAGCGAGAGGCAGAGGGAGGGGCCCTGCTGCGTCGGGAAGCCAAGGGGCCGGGGCGGCGGCGCACAACCTGCGCGGCCGGAGGTCTCGGCCGCCCGGGGGGAGCAGACGCAAGCCCGCCCCCGCCCCTTCCCCTCCTCCTCCTCCTCCTCCTCCTCCTCTTCCCTCCTCCTCCTCCTCCTCCTCCTCCTCCTCCTCCTCCTCCTCCTCCTCCCTCCTTCTCCCTCCTCCTCCTCCTCCTCCTCCTCCTCCTGGTGGTCCGTGTGGTCCGTAAGTCCCTTGTGACCTTGTGTCCACTCACCCTGGGGTGCAAACCCAGTTGCACATGCCATCCGATTCGGCAGGGGTGACGGTCGGGAAGTACTGCGCGGTGACGCGGTGAACCGGCTGTCCCCCCTACGCACCACGCCGTCTCGGTTGGGCAGCGAGTCGCTGAGCGACGAGGTATCTGCTTTTCCCCTGACCGTCGGTGCTGGCGCCTGCGGGCCCCTTCCTCCTGTCTCGGAGGCCGAGGGTGACGGTTGAGCCTCGCTCGCTGTTCACTTCTCGGATCTATGACACTCATGATCCTCCTCCTCCTCCCTCCTCCTCCTCCTCCTCCTCCTCCTCCTCCTCCTCCTCCTCCTCCTCCTCCTCCTCCTCCCCCTGGGACCCAACGGGGCGCGAAAAGGTACACGTCTCTTCGCCTTGCGCCTCTGTCGCCACCCCCACTGAGCAGCGCCCAAGCCTCGGCCAAGCCCCCGCCCCCGGGGCCGGGAGGACGCGGCGCCGCTCGGCGCCGCCGCGCCGGACGAGACCGAGGAGGCCCGTCTCCGATTTTTTCCCCGCCAGGGCAGCGCTGGGAGCCGAGGTTCGAGCTTCTCTCGAAGGAGAGAAGAGTCGCGTAAACCTATCAGATCGAAGCATATCCTCATCCCTGTGTTTGGCAACGCCTCACTTCGGTTCCGATCTCCAGGATTCCTTCAGCTTCTCTGAGGGCACATCCCCAAGAGTGTCCTCGTTTTTTTCTCGCTTTGTCCTTGCCCATGATTTTCTCTCGTCCCTGGGCGTGGTTCCTGGGGAGGAGGATTCTGGGTTGGCTGCGTCCTCGTCGCCATGGCAGGATCTGGAGGGTCGTCGCTAGTAGCCGATTTGCTATTGGCCGTGATTGTCCGTGCGGGCGCACTGGACCACCCCGGGGGGGAGGCAACCCATCACTATCTCCCTCCGCAAGGACAGCGTTGGGAGTCGAGGTTCGAGGTTTTCCCAAAGAAAAAATTGCACACACATCAACTTTTGGCGCTCCGCACGGATTTTTCGGGTCCGCGCTGGGCCCCCCCTGGCGGCGCCTCCGGCGCCGCCCCTGGCGCGCCCCGCGCGCCAGGGAGAGGTGTTCAGCGCAGATCCACGCAATCCGCGCGGAGCGCCCAGTGGCTCCGCCGATGCATCGCCGATACAAGTGCGATGCTTCGGCGATGCGTTGAGATCTTCTGGCCCCATCTACTCGGACCTAGTTTGGGTGCCATACTGTGACGAAGGCCAGAGCCCGAACAGTAGACGTTCCGTACAAGTTTTGCCGGTGTGTTTCCTCATCATATGCCGATGTTCGTAAGTCAAACCAGTCCCAGGATTATCAGGGTCTTCCGTGGCCCAATCCCCATGTGTACCTTTTCTTCCGCACTTCCCTTCCTTAATCCCCCCCAGGTGCCGCTCCTGCCTCCACTGCCTTCCAGTCCCTCGAATTGCCCCCAGGTCCCCCCCTCGCCTTTCTCCTGCTCGCCTGCTGTATACAGGTTCCTCTCCGTTTGCCCCCGGCTCCTGCCCCTCCCCCGCTTGGCTGTTCCACCAACTCACTCGCCGTCTCGCCTTTCATCTTCCCTCTCTCCACGCCAATCTTGTACCTTCCATCCCCCCGCCACACTGGCTTTCTCCATCTCGCCCTCGCTTCCTTTTCGTCTTCCTGTCATTGTCTCTCTCATTTCTTCCTCCTGCTGGCGTACTTGAGCTTTCTTGAAGAGTCCACTCCGATCCCCCCCCCCTCGCCCTCACCCTCCTCTCGCTGCTGCCCCCCCCTCCCTCTCCGTCTCTCCCTCCTCGCCCTCCCTGCCCCCCCTACCGCTGGCGACGACGACCACGCCGACGGTGACGACCACACCGACGGCGTCGACGACGGCAATGACAACGGCGACGACGCCAACCACGTTGACGATCACGACATATCACGACGGTGACAGCCCACGACGATGGCAACAACTGAGGCGGCCACGACGATGACCGCTCCAGCCGCGGAGGCTCCGGCCTAGAAGCCACCCGCAGCGCCCATGAGGCGGGGCAGAGCAGGGGCAAACTGCGCACTCGCAGCCTCCAGATCTTTGATGGGCTCCACCGCGCCACGACCGGCTGCCACGACCACTGCGACGACCAGGGCTGGACCTCAATGTTGTTTTGCTTGGCTTCGGCCGTGCGTTCTTTCTCGTAGTGGCAGGGAGGTGCAGGAAGACGGGTAAGGATAACATAACAAAACACAAGACGAACACAAAACGAAAAGCAACGTTTAGGTCCGGCCCTGGCGACGACCACTACGACCACCGCGGCCGCCGCGACCACCGACGGTACGACCACCACCGCGACGACGACTGCCAGAGATCCTCTTGCGGACACTCTGTTTTGTCCATATCCGCTGCATTGGAGCTTCGGGCCCCCTCGGAAACCCGAGGCGCACTGGCCATGGATGAATGTGTGCCCCCTGGAGGCTCGAGATCTTTCCACATCCAGTGCGCCTCGGCCTTGTGGCGCCCCTTCCAGACAGGCCAAGGCGCACTGGATATCGATAGGAACCTTGCCCGCACCTCTGGCCCCACCGCGCCACCACCACGGCCGCCACGACCACGGCGACGACCACTGCACGCCGGTCGTTGAGAGGAGTTACGTTTTTCGTGGTTTCCCAGATCCCAATCTTTTTCTGGCCCCCTCCCATTTCTAGAATTGGTATAGTCTTGATGTGTGTTCGTTGTTCTCTGGGAGGGCCTGAACCCAATCTGGTTTATCCGCCTTCCCTCTTCGCGTTGTTTCATTTCTTCCGACCGACGGGTAGTGGTGAGCAGCAGGAAGAATATGGCGTCCACGGCTTGGTCGAGTCGGATCGGCGAGTTGGGCGAGGCGGGTGAAGGGAGGAGGAGGAGACCCTCTCAGAAGCCATCGGCCTTTTCGAGAAGGTGTCTGTGTCCCCGGGGAAGGCTCAGCGAACTTCCCAGACGGCTCGACCGACGTGTACGATCTCCGCGGCCATGGCTCGGGGGCGGAAAAGAGGGGGGTGATGACTAGGGGGGGGCGGATATCATGGCGGGGGGCCTGATATTTCCTCAGATTTCATGGCGCCTCTTCTCATTTCATTACGTCCCTGGCCCCCCCGCTGGGCCGCGCACATGCCGCCGGTCATGATTTGCACCCCCCCCTCTTGGACACCCCCCTCTTGGCCGCTCCCGAATGGCCACGACGCCCACCACCACGACGACGGCCGTCGACGCCGCCGCGCGCCGGCCCGCCGCGCGCGAGCGCACAGGCGCCTGAGCGAGGAGGTCGAGACGGGCGTCCCCGGGTGCCGCTCTTCGGCTTCCCGCAGGCGCGCAAGTGTCGAGCCTTGGCGAAGCGTCTTGGCTTGTCTAGTGGGCCCACCAGAGACTGGTCTAAGAACCTTGTGTGGTCTGCGCGAATGTTCTCAGAAAACTTCTGGTTGAGGCCGTCTTGTTTATTACATCGGGTTTCTGTTCCAAGACCATCGTTCTTGCTCTTAGAACATAGTTGGGCTCTACGAACAGGCCTGTAGGAATGCCGGGACAGTCGGTCCCTGTTCAAGGGTGGCCGCGCGTGCTGGCACGATTCATTTGAGGTGGTCGTTGGGAGTAGGTATGTTTGGATTCCCAGGTTCCCCTTTGCTTCAAGCGCCTTTCTGATTCAAGAGTCGATATGCGTTTGTTGCGTTTGGTTGTTCTCTGGGAGGGCCCACCTTCCTACTTACTGTTTTTTATAGACGTCTTCCCACCGACGGGTATTCACATTCAGTGCGTTTGGGGATTCCTTGGAAGGGGCGCCACAAGGCCGAGGCGCATTGGGCATAGGTGAGAATATCGAGCCTCGGGGGGCCATATTTTGTGTCTATATCCAGAGTGCGCCTCGGATTCCTGGCGAAGAGGACCAGGGACTCCAATCTGCAGCGGATGTGGGCACAAGGTCTTGCCCGCAGCGCCTTAAGCGCTCGAGGAACACGAGCATGAACTCACCGAGCTCCGCGCGGATCTCTCGCATCGGCGCTCGCCCCCCCCAGGCGGCGCCTCCGCCCACGCCCCTGACGCGCTCCGCGCGCCAGGGAAGGGGTCCAGCGCCGATCCGAAAAAAACGAGCAGAGTTCCGAAAGTTTATGTTCACGCAGCTCTGTGTTCCTCGATCGGGGAAACGTAAGACTCGAGTTCGCCAGAACTCGGGCTTGCGGACGCGTTTTGAGGCGGACGTCCTGGATTTCGACGGTCCAGTGTTCGTGGGATGTTTGCAGCGGGAGCTCGCGTCAGATTCCAGATTGGGCCTCGTCATTTTCCTGACGGCCCCGTCAGGTCAACCCGCATGGGCGAAAACCATATCCGTATCCGCGGCCTCGCTGGCTGGGCCCTTGGGCCGCGACCCCGCGGATACGGGGCGTTTGGGAGGGGTTTCGATTTGAGCTGCCTCGGAAGGTTCCCGGGGGTCTGGGCAAAGAGGCCGCGTTTCGTGGGTGGCCTGGGGGGGTCTGAAATGGCCCGTCGGGAAGGTTTCTGACCCCCACGCCTCTTGATTTTGTGGAATTCGGAGCACCCTGGAGGGAACGTCCGTCCGACGCGAAGGGGTCGAGACGTCCGTGGACCCCGTCTGGAAAACCATGACATCGGACGATCTGGCTCTTGCTGCATCCAGGGCATCAGTTCGGGCGTGCCCCAGCGTCGCGCTCCGGTCGGTCCGCGGAGGGGGTGGGCGGAGGTCGGAGGGTGGCAGGGCTCGCATCGGTCCCTCCGATTCGATTCGATTCGATTTCCATGGGTTCCGATGCCGATTCGATTCGGTTTAGGATTCCGATTTGGTTTCTGATTTCTCAACGGATGCCTACTAGCCTACCAGCCTGCGGATGTCTGCCGATTCGACTTTTCCCGACCCGGCTGCCGATTTCTGTCGATGCGATTCATGCCGACTTCCGATCCGACTTGTCGATTCGATTCTGGGCTCTCCTGGTGGCGGTGGGGAAGAGCGAGGACGAGAAAGGGGATAGGGGAGCAGGAGGGAGAATACGGGGAATGAGGAGGAGGGTGAGGAGGAAGGGAGAGGGGCGCTTGGCGTCAGGGCAGACGAGATGGGCAGGAGGAGGAAGGAAGGTGACAGGTGAGGAGAGGGCAGGATGTGTGTGGGGGGGGGGGAAATGGCTCGGATAGGTGGGTGAGGAGCAGGAGGAAGTCGCATGTCATCTCACGGCCGCGATCCAGAGCGGGCGATCGCGCTCAGCGGATGCATCAGACTTCGGCAGCGCAACACGGGAGCCTCGCGTGCCCCCACAATTCCGGCTCCAGGACGGCGGGCGCCAGCGGGCGGTGATCAGACGCCAGTTCTCGGCGTCGGTTGGCGTCGATGCTCAGCGTCGGTCGGCCTCGATGCGCAAGAGCCGAAAGGACGGTGCGGGAGAGGCTCCCCTTGGGTTGCCACCGAATTTTCCTTGGGCTGGCGACCTGCCGCGGCGCCAGACCTCGGGCCTCGAGCTTCGAGCTTCTCGGGCTCCGCGTCTCGAGCCTTGAGGCCCTTCGGGCCTCTGAGGGGCCTCCTCGTCGCCGCGGCTCGGCCTCCAGAAAGATCCGGGCCCTTCGAGCTGCGAGGCCGCTCGGGGCCTCCCAGGGGTCCTCCTCGTCGCCGCGGCTCGGCGGGCCCTTCGAGCCTCGAGCCTCGAGGCCTCTCGGGGCCTCTGCGGGGGGCCGCCTCGTCGCCGCGGCTCGGCCTCCAAGAAGGCTGGGCCTCGGCACGTCGCCGGCCCAGAGGCCTCTTCCGGAAAAAGTCCACCCCGCGGGGATCTGGGCCGTTTCCTTCGGGCGTCGGGGGGCACATCCCCATTTGGGGTGTTGGGATGGCGGGACTCGGGAGGAGGAGCAGGAGCAGGAGGAGGAGGAGGGAGGGGGGAGGGAAAGGAGGAGGGAGGGAGGAGGAAGAGGAGCCTTCTGAGAAGGCCCGCCCCTTCTCGCTTCCCCCCTCGCTCTCCGCCGAGAAGAGAGCCGATGGGGCCCCAAGCAGCGCGCCGCGGGTGCAGCCGCGGCTCGATAGGGGGCTCGAACGGGCGCGCGAGTCACCCGCCAGGGGCGCGTGGTTGATCGCGCCTTGCTTCGGGAAGCTCAAGAGACGGGGGTCAATGCAAGCGGGGGTCAGTCAGAGCGCTTGATCTTGAGCCAGGGCAGCATTGACCCAGGCTTGGGTGCAGGATCCTGCAGGATCCTGCAGGGTCTGGCTGACCTGGGTCTGGATCGAACCCGGTCAGTAGATTCTCGAGCCTCGCTGGGGCGAGGGACGATGGTCGGAGCTGATTGCGGGTCTGAGGTGGCCCAGCACTCGTTCTGGCGAGCAGGACGGAGGGGATGAGATCCGAGTTTCTGGGTTCGAGCAGGTGTGTTGCCTTTGTCGGCTTCCGGGGGCAGTCTTCGGGCCTGGGACCGTCAGAAACGGGTGGGTGAAGAATTGCACCAGATGGCGCTCCTTGGGGCTGGGTCCGACCACCGCAGAAATTCTTCGAGGCTCAAGCGACGGGGTTCAATCCAAAGGGGGGTCAGTCAGAGCGCCGGAAATTGCAGGATCCTGCAGGGCCAGGGGCGCACTGTTTTGGGTTTGGGTGCAGGATGCTGCAGGATGCCGCAGGATCTTGCAGTGTTGCAGGCTCCTGCATGGCCTGACTGACCTGGCGCTGGATGGACCCTGGTGAGTATTTCCCTTAAGTTTTCCACCCTCACTGACATTGTCCCCCCCCCTGTCTGAGAGGAGGACAAGGTATCGATTCAGCTGCCCTTCGCTCGTTTTCGCCTTTTGGAGGGCCTCATTGGAGGCCCTCGTCGCCACGGCTTGAGTTGCTTCGAAATTCTGTTCAGAACGCTCACCAGAAGAAGTTCAAGGAGTGGCTGTGTCGGTGTATCTTGGTTTTCTCATAGTCTCTCCCTCTTCCTGATCAAGTTTTATGTCTCGTCCTTGACCTCCTCCTTCTCTACCGCCTTCTCCTGCCTCTTCCTGCTGCTGCTTCCATGATCACTATTTCTCCTCACCTCCCTTTGTATGATCCCCGCGGTGACGGCCCAGCTCCCTCGAACCTCGCGCTGGCGGGGGGGGGGCGTGCAAGCAGCAACCACCTGGAGCATAAAGAGCATGATCTACATCGAAGCGGACGATGCTTTTTTTGCTACGGCAAGAGCGCATGGTGGGATTATCCGTAAGGGCATCGCCCCAGGCCGCCAGCCCCCTGTCTCGGAGAATGGGAGATTAAACAGCTAAATCATAAGGTCTGGGCGCCGCCGTGAAGCAGTGTCGGGACCTGTTTGTTTTTGGACCCTGAACCTACGGATCTGCGTGAGGGGTGCCGCCGAATTTCAGAAATGTGGGAAATCCCCTGTGTTTTTGGACCCTGACCCTACGGATCGGCGTGAGGGGTGCCGCCGAATTATAGAAATGTGGGAAATCCCATGTGTTTTTGGACCCTGACCTTGCCGATCTGCGTGAGGGGTGCCGCCGAATTTCAGACATGTGGCAACTCCCATGTGTTTTTGGACCCTGACCCCGCCGATCTGCGTGAGGGGTGCCGCCGAATTTCAGACATGTAGCAAATCCCATGTGTTTTTGGACCCTGACCCCGCCGATTTGCGTGAAGGGTGTTAATTGTTACCCCCCCAGAAATTTTGAGAACCCTCCCAGGGCGTGGTAAAAATACAAGTTTTGGGCCTCCACCCCTTGCGCGGTCCATCAACAAGGAGCAGTAAGCAGCAAGAAGCAGATCTGTAACAGTGGAAACAGTAAGCAGCAAGAAGCATAACTGTAACAGTGGAAACTGGAAGCTGCAACCGGCACAGGAAACTGCGAAGCTTCGGCCTACAGCCTGGTGGCCCCACAAGGGGGCCGGCGGATTGTAGTTTTGGTCATGATATCAGTTCCGCGGGAAGCGAAGACAACGGCCTCCGTAGTAATTTTAGCTAAAGGCTCGAACCCCCAAACAGGGTGGCTGCCTGCCGAATCTTATAAGGACATCATGGGGAGCATCTGCGCAGGTCAAACCAGTCCCTCCGTGGAGACTACGGAGCCAGAGCCCACGCAGGTTGATCCGGAGCCCGTACCCCCTGAACCCGTACCCCCAGTTGTGTGGACAGTCACGATCAAGAAAGACAAGAATAAGGTCCTCGGCCTTGACATCAAGCGCGCGGACACCAAGCTCAAGGTGACGGGCGTCAAGGATGCTGGTCTGGCCAAGGCGTGGAATGACGCGAACCCAGACCAGGCGATCCAGCTGGGCGACATGCTGGTTAAGGTCGGCTCCACAGGGGGAACGGCGGCGCTGATGCTTGACGAGGTCAGGAAGGCAAAGGGTTC